TCTCTCTCTCTCTCTCTCTCTCTCTCTCTCTCTCTCTCTCTCTCTCTCTCTTCTGCCTGTAGCTGTCATTGGAATTGTAATGAATCTTTCCCTTGTAAATACACCAATGGTGTGACCCTGGTCCCCAGAAGCTGTGTCCTGTTCCATCCAGGTCATTCCATAGCTTATGGACCATTTGTTAGTCCACTACCAGACACAAAGTTTATGTATTGTGAGTTTCTACATAGGCGAAAGACAGAGATTGACCTGTGACTGGAAGCCAGGCTCCAGGAGGGCTCAAGGGTAAGGTCCCTGGTTTTGACCTTCAGTCTCCTTCCTCATGTGACCAGAGATCATTTTTTAGGGGTACTCTGCATTGGTAGGCATCTTCTATTCCCGCCCCCGCCCCACTTTCCTCCTGGCTTCCCCTCCCTTCTCTCTATCGAGATTGGGTCTTGCTATGTAGCCCAGGCTATCCTGGAAAGGAGCAGTCCTGCCTGAGTCAGGAACGGGGCAGGTAAATGGCAGAACCCAATGCAGCACGTGAATCCGAAGGGCTCAGCGCGGGTGTGGGCACGCGGTGCCACCGTTCCCCTCTGTGCCTGTGACCCGCCTGTGGAGCAGAACAGGCTCCAAGATGGCCTCACCACCAGCCCCCCGGAAAACCTTGGGGGACACCAGGAAAGGTTCTGCAGATAACTGGAAGGGTTCAGCAGAGAGTAGAAAGGGTTTTAGAGACAGGAGGAAATCTATTGAGATGAAAAAAGACTCTGGAGAGGCCCAGAAGGGTCCTGGAGAGGCCAGGAGGAGGAGTTTTCCACGGAGGGGATCCACGGGGTCCAGGAAATTGAGTTTTGGCGAGGACAGGGGGGTTTCAGTCAATAGGAGGGTTTCGGTCGATAGCAGGAGGGGCTCTAGCGAGAACAGGAGGGGCTCTAGCGAGAACAGGCGGGGTTCCGGTGAGGGCAGGAAGGGTTCAAGCGAGGACAGGGACAGCTTGTCGGCCATCCCTGCCAGTGTGCGATCCAACAGGGTGCCATGGGTCACCCTGATGAGAGCCTTGGGTCGCTTCAAGCTGTCGCTCCCGGATATCCGTCGGGACTATATGCTGGCCTCTCGCGACCCCCTGGCTGTGGACAAGGAACTTGGGCCACGTGTGAAATACCACAAGGTGGTGAGGAGGTTCTGGGGCAACCACCAGCCTCTCGCCAAGGTCAGAACCACCCGCCAAGGTCAGAGGACCCAGATGACCTTCCCACCACCTGAGTGCCCCTGGGCCCACTCTGCATCTCCCACCGCCAGTCTCTGTGGAGGGCAGAGGTGCAGCACCCCTGAGGGCATACGTGAGGCTTCCTGTGCCACATGCCACTTGCTCCCTCTGGTAGTGAAACCTGGGGACTCCTGGAGGCTCCTGGTAGCCAGTGACTCACCCTACATTCCCAGCCCTATGCACCCCTTCACATCCCAGAGGACCCTGCAACTCTGGTGACTTCATCCACCCCCCACCTTCCTGGAAGCAGAGAGCAAAGCCCTTGGTCTCCTTCCCTCCATTTGTTTGTGCTCCGTCAACTCAACACCTCAAATCCCGCCACACGGGTACCCCATGATTCTTAGCTATGAGAGGAACAGAGTAAGGGGTGGACTGTTATCATCTTACTCCCCCTATCTTTGCTTTTCAGCTTTATTATAATTCTTAAATCACACAGTCCCACTGAGCAAGGCATACATTGAAAAAAATGTTTTTTTAAAACATTTTCACATTGTATAACTGTCACAGCTTTGGAACATTTGTTATAAAATTTTATTTTATGTGTACGAGTGTTTCCCTGCATATATGTGTGTGCCCCATGTGTGGCAGTGCCTGCAAAAGCCAGAAGAGAGTGTTATAGACAATTATAAACCCTAGAATGGGAGCTATAGACAGTCGTGAGTTTTCATGTGGGTGCTGGGAATTGAACCTGGGTCCTCTGCAAGAGCAGCCAGTGCTGTAAACACTGAGCCGTCTCTCCAGTCCCCACATGTTTAACTTAAAAAAAAAAGATTTGTCTCTATTTATGTCTACATGTGTGTCTGTATGAATGCATGCCATGTGACTACATACCTGACAAGACCTGAAAGTCTAGTTGTGAGCCTCCTGATGCAGGTGCTGGGAACTGAATTTGGGTCCTCTGCAAGAGCAAGAAGCACTCTTTGTTTTGGTTTTCTCAAGATGGTTTCTGTAGGTGGAGTTTTCCTGTCTCAGGAATGGCTTCCAAATTAACACACAGAGGCTTAATACTATTTATAAATGCTTGGCCAATAGCTCAGACTTACTACTAGCTAACTCTTACACAAATTAACTCATGTTTCTTATCTATGTTTCATCATGTGGCTCATGGCTTGTTACCTCATTTTCTATATGTCCTGCTCCTCAGGCCAGCTGGCATCTCTTGATTCTGTCCTTCCTCCTCCCAGAGTTCTCTGTGTTTGACTGTTCCACCTATACTTTCTGTCTGACTACCAGCCTGTCAGCTTTTTATTAACCAATGAGAGTAATACATAGTCACAGTATACAGAAGGATTATTCCACAGCATTTCCCCCTTTTTGTCTAATTAAAAAGGAAGGTTTTTTTTAAACATAGTAAAGCTATGTATATAGCAACAGTTATTAAGTAAGAATTACAGTTACAAGCTATCTCAGTCAGTAGAGCATGAGATTCTTAATCTTAGGGTCATGGGTTCGAGCCCCACGTTGGGCATCAGTGAAGTGTCATTCTAATTATTATAAATATTCTTTATCAATAAAAATTTGGAAGTCAGATATTGGGGTAGGAGCCTGAAAGATCAGAGCAGCAGAAAAGCCACCAGTCTTCCCTACCTGCTTCGTTCCTTCCTCCAAATAGAGAGCCATATCCCCTTTCAGCCTGCCTTACTACTTCTAGCCTCAGTTTTTCAAAACTTCTGTGGTTAATTTTGGTCAGCTAGTGGCTAGCTCTACCCTCTGACTCCAAGGAACCTTTATTGTTAGAACGCAATCAAAATACCACACAACAGGTCTCACTGTGCACCCCTGGCTGTCCTGGAACTCACTGTGTAGAGCAGGTTAGCCTCCAACTCACAGAGATCTGCCTGCTGTTGCCTCTCTAGTGCTGAGTTTAAAGACCTATGCCACCATGCCTGGCACAAGAAGCCCTCTTAACTGTTGAGATATCTCTCTGGTCCCCATGTTTAACTTTCTAAAGAACTGTTTAACTGTTTTCTGAAGCAGCTACCCATTTTTACATTCCCATCAGCAATGTGATGGCTCTAAATTGTCCACAAACTTGCCGACATTTATTTTATTTAAAGATTTATTTATTTATTATGTATACAACATTCTGCCTCCATGCATGCCTGCAGGCCAGAAGAGGGCACCAGATCTCATTACAGATAGTTGTGAGCCACCATGTGGTTGCTGGGATTTGAACTCAGGTCCTCTAGAAGGACAGTCAATGCTCTTAACCACTGAGCCATCTCTCCAGCCCCTTGCCAACATTTATTAAGCAATCATAATGCATATGACATGCTTAATAAATGTCGGCAAGGGGCTGGAGAGATGTCTTTGGAGAAACATCTATTCAGGTCCTTAGCTCACTTGTTGGTAAAACAATGGTCTATCTGCCTGCCATGCTCAAGACGCTGTGTTCAATCTTCAGCATGTCATATGACAGGCACGTGGTAAGTGCCAGTAATCTCAGCACTCAGGAGGTCGAGGCAGGAAGGTCAGAAGTTAAAGGTTGCGTGTGCAAGATAGTGCATCAGGCTACCAAGCATGTTGGCCTGAGTTCAATCCCCAGCCCCACATGATGGAAGGAGAGAATCAGGCCCCTCACTTGTGCTCTGACGGCCACGTGTGTACCATTGCACAGTGCCCCTCATCCATACTAAGTAAATGTAATAAATAAAAGAAGGGAATTCAAGGTTAACACGGACTATGTAGCAAGCCCAGGGCTAGCTTGGGCTACATGAGACATCTCAATTGAAAAAGGAAGGAAAGAAGGAAGGAAGGAAGGAAGGAAGGAAGGAAGGAAGGAAGGAAGGAAGGAAACTGGGGCTGTGGGGATGACTCAGTAGTTCAAGTGCTTGGGGTGCTAACAAGAGGACTGAAGTCTGGAACCCTAGAACACATGTGACCCCTGAGAGGGTGTGGTAGCCCAAGTGCAATCTCAGTCTCGGGACACCTAGATCCAGCTGGCTAGCCGTACTAGCCCTTCCTGGAAGCTTTGTGTTTGGTGGAAGATCTTTGATTGAGAGATTGCCTCAAAAAATAGGGTAGAAGATTTCCTGATATCAGTTGGGTTCTCTCCACACATACACATACACAGTGCACCTCCACACGGGTGAATATGTATATATGTTAGTGCACCACAGACACACACATACACACACACACACACACACACACACACACACACACAAAGAAGAAAATACAATGAGATAGAATTTGTTTGTTTTTAATCATCGAGTTCTGAGTCCTTTAGCATTTTAAACTCATGCTCCATAGCAAATATTTAATTTCTTGATGGGATCCTTTGTAGCACAAGTGTTTTGAA